AACTATACTCTCATACATTCCCCTCTTTGCCTCCAAGGACAAAGTTCTTTGTCTCCAAAGACTCCTAAGTGCACCACTCACCCTTTTCCCCTCATCAATTCTATGATTCACCTCATCTTTCATAGACCCATCCGCTGACACGTCCACTCCCAAATATCTGAATACATTCACCTCCTCCATACTCTCTCCTTCCAATCTGATATCCAATCTTTCATCACCTAATCTTTTTGTTATCCTCATAACCTTACTCTTTCCTGTATTCACTTTTAATTTTCTTCTTTTGCATACCCTACCAAATTCATCCACCAATCTCTGCAACTTTTCTTCAGAATCTCCTAAGAGCACAGTGTCATCAGCAAAGAGCAACTGTGACAACTTCCACTTTATGTGTGATTCTTTATCTTTTAACTCCACGCCTCTTGCCAAGACCCTCGCATTTGCTTTTCTTACAACCCCATCTATAAATATATTAATGTTTCTATGCTATTAACCCCTTCAGGGGCCAGAGGCCAAATTTCAAAGTGCACACCAGGGTCCAAGAATTTTCAAAAAAAAATTTTGTTATTTCTTCTTATGAAATGGTAGAGAATCTTTTTCTGAAGGTAATAAAACAAAAAGTACGAAATTTGATGGAAAATTGAGGAAATTATGCTCTCGCGAATTTTGATGTGTCAGCAATATTTACGAATCGGCGATTTTGCCGACTTTGACTCCCACTTTAGACCAATTACATTATTCCAGTCAACTAAATTCTTAGCTATTTCACTAGTATTACTTCTATTCTATCGATTGAGCACAAGAAATCACCAAGTCAACTGTTTCAACTACAAAATAAAGTGACTGGAAATTGGTAATTTGGCCAATTTAACACAAAGTTCAAAATATTCCAATTTCAAAACAGGGTCCAGAATAAACAATGTAGGTATTCCTGGCACTAAACTAACATTTCCTCTGTTCATTAGTTATGTTTTCGGGCTTTACAAATGAATTCCATTTTGATTTTTTATTCACATAATGAATTTTTATTCAAACCAAAAAATAGAAGATTTACTGTTATGCAATGTTGTAATAATTGTATAAATATCATCACCACATTTGTGAATGTATATTAGACCCACCAGCTGGTGTGTATTAGACGTGTGAGGTTGTTTGCTTAATCTTAAACACTGGCAAAAATTTAACATTTCCGCTACTTTGAGCTCAGTTTCAAGCCATTTCCAATATTAAAACCAATCAAAATCATCTCTATTTCTGTAATATGTCTTCCATTCTATCAAATGAGACCAAAAAATCGCAAATACAACTATAAAAAACATACGAAAAAACACTGCAAAGTTGCTGTTTTAATCGAAAATCACGGTCTCAGTTTTTTTCCTCTCATTATACACTGTGTGCTGCAGGATTTGTTTTATGTGGTGCACACATACCACATAGATGTATTCTCTCATATCTAGGCCCAAATTTAACACTTACAGCTTATCAGAGTGAGCTGAGCTCATGGCGTAGATCTACGGTTTGGACCCTGAACGTAAAGCCGTAGATCTACGGCACGGACCCTGAAAGGGTTAATATTGTTTATTATGTCATATTAGATGAACTGTGGTAGCTAAATAAGCTGTAGAGTTGACATCAGTGTCATACTGAAGGACTATCTTGTCCTGTCTCCCAACACTTCCCTGCTGCCGCCACAATTCCTAACATACGCCAGAAACAGACCTTTCCAGAACACTTTTTTGAGCGACAGAGGTCCAGTGACTCTCAAGCTGGTCCTAGTGGCATTAAAAAACAAAGAAGGGAAGTAACCTCAGAAAAGGACTTGGTACCTGAAGTCTTTATGGAAGGGGATTCCACTTCTAAACAGTAATTTCTCCATCCTCTCTCCTTCTCCTGTCTTCAAAACACTAAGAAGAGTCTTCAATAAAGGTAAGAGTCATGTTATTATTATTTTATTCTTTATGTCTCATTGTTTTCTATGTAGGTAAATGTACATTTCATGTAAAAAAATTCTTTTTTTTTTTTTAATACTTTTGGGTGTCTGGAACGGATTAATTGGATTTGCTTTATTTCTTATGGGGAAAATGAATTCGGAAATTGTCAAATTCGGCTTTAGTCACATTCTCTGGAACGGATCAATTACGACAACCAAGGGTCCACTGAACAAAATCTAAGTGCAGATAACAAAATAAAGTACAGAGAAATATTTTTCTACATTTGTTACTGTAAATTCTGATGGAAGTCTTTTCATTCCTGAAGATACTGAGCATTACTAGTGTGCCTGTCCTTATTTATAAATACTTTCCCCTCCATGTCTTCATTAGTGACATTAAGGGAGGCAATTCTTTGTTTAATCTTTATGAAAGTTTCATTATAGTGTTCTCCATTTATATTTACATTAACTTTTCTTCACTCCTAATCTGACAGAGCAGAATAAAAGCACCACTGGAAGGAGCAAGATCAAGAAGTTAAGTGCCAAGTGCGTATTATTATATATTATATTATAAATTACGAATAGATTTGCCAGTTAAAGACAAAGTAGGGCAGTTAGTTGATGGGGAACTGGAGGTATTGGGTAGATGGTGGGAATATTTTGAGGAACTTTTAAATGTCGATGAAGAAAGCGAGGCAGTAATTTCATGCACTGGCCAGGGAGGTATAACATTTTTATGAGTGAAGACAAGCAGGATGCGAGTGTGGGGGAGGTGCATGATGCATTACGTAGAATGAAAAGGAGTAAAGCAGCTGAAAGTGACGGAATCATGACAGAAGTGTTAAAAGCAGGGGGGGGGGATATAGTGTTGGACTGGTTGGTGTATTTGTTTAATAAATGTATGAAAGAGGGAAATGTACCTAGGGATTGGCAGAGAGAGTGCATAGTTCCTTTATATAAAGGGAAGGGGGACAAAAGAGATGGTAAAAATTATAGAGGAATAAGTTTACTGAGTCCTAGGTAGCAGGTTGGTAAACAGCAACCGCCCAGGGAGGTACTACCATCCTGCCAAGTGAGTGTACAATGAAAACCTGTAATTGTTTTACATGATGGTAGGATTGCTGGTGTCTTTTGTCTGTCTCATAAACATGCAAGATTTCAGGTATGTCTTGTTACTTCTACTTGCACTTAGATCACACTACACATACATGTACAAGCATATATATACACACCCCTCTAGGTATTCTTCTATTTTCTTTCTAGTTCTTGTTCTTGTTTATTTCCTCTTATCTCCATGGGGAAGTGGAACAGAATTCTTTCTCTGTAAGCCATGCGTGTTGTAAGAGGCGACTAAAATGCCGGGAGCAAGGGGCTAGTAACCCCTTCTCCCGTATAAATTACTAAATTTAAGAGAAACTTTCGTTTTTCTTTTTGGGCCACCCTGCCTTGGTGGGATACGGCCGGTGTGTTGAAAGAAAGAAGTTTACTGAGTATAGCAGGAAAAGTGAACGGTAGGGTTATTATTGAAAGAATTAGAGGTAAGACAGAGAGTAGGATTGTAGATGAGCAAGGAGGCTTTGGAGTCGGTAGGGAATGTGTAGATGAAGTTTACACTGAAGCATATATGTGAACAGTATTTAGATAAAGGAGGGAAGTTTTCATTGCATTTGTGGATTTAGAAAAGGCATATGATAGAGTGGATAGGGGAACAATGTGGCAGATATTGCAAGTGTATGGAATAGGTAATAAGCTACTAAATGCAGTAAAGAGTTTTTATTAGGATAGTGAGGCTCAGGCTAGGGTGTATAGGAGAGAGGGAGATTACTTTCCGGCAAAAGGAGGTCTTAGACAGGGATGTGTAATGTCACCATGGTTGTTTAAAATATTTATAGATGGGGTTGTAAAAGAAGTAAATGCTAGGGTGTTGGGGAGAGGGGTGGGATTAAATTATGGGGAATGAAATACAAAATGGGAGTTGGCAGTTATTTTTTGCTGATAATATTGTGCTTTTGGGAGATTCTAAAGAAAAGTTACAAAGGTTAGTGGACGAGTTTGAGAGAGCATGTAAAGGTAGAAAGTTGAAAGTGAACATAGATAAGAAGAAGGTGATGAGGGTATCAAACGATTTAGATAAAGAAAAATTGGATATCACATTGGAGAGAGGGAGTATGGAAGAAGTGAAGGTTTTCAGACATTTGGGAGTTGCCTTGTCAGCAGATGGGTTTATGAAGGATGAGGTTAACCATAGAATTGATAAAGGAAAAAAGGCGAGTGGTGTGTTGAGGTATCTGTGGAGACAAAACACGTTATCCATGGAGGCAAAGAAAAGAATGTATGAAAGTATAGTGGTACCAACACTCTTATATGGGTGTGAAGCTTGGGTTTTAAATGCTGCAGCGAGGAGGCGGCGCTAGAGGCAGTGGAGATGTCCTGTCTAAGGGCAATGTGTGGTGTAAATATTATGCAGAGAATTTGGAGTGTGGAAATTAGGAGGTGTGGAGTTACTAAAAGTATTAGTCAGAGGGCTGAAGAGGGGTTGTTGAGGTGGTTTGGTCATTTAGAGAGAATGGATCAAAGTAGAATGACTTGGAGAGCGTATAAATCTATAGGGAAAGGAGGGGTAGGGGTCATCCTCGAAAAGGTTGGAGGGAAGGGGTAAAAAAAGGTTTTGTGGGTGAGGGGCTTGGACTTCCAGCAAGCATGTGTGAGCATGTTAGATAGGAGACGAGTGGTTTTTATGATCTGACAAGCTGTTGGAGTGTGAGCAGGGTAATATTTAATGAAGGGATTTAGGGAAACCGGTTAGCCGGACTTGAGTTCTGGAAATGGGAAGTACAATGCCTGCACTTTAAAGGAAGGGTTTGGGATATTGAATTTGGAGAGACTTCTAAACTGTTGTATCTGAGTGCCTCTGCAAAGACAGTGATTATGTGTGAGTGAGGTGAAAGTGTTGAATGATGATGAAAGTATTTTCTTTTTTGGGATTTTCTTTCTTTTTGGGTCACCCTGCCTTGGTGGGAGATGGCCGACTTGTTGAAAAAAATAATTCCCAAGAAAGAAAATATTTACAAAACTGAGAAGTAATCAATTAATAAAGAAATAATATACTTGCCATATCAATAAGAAGGTCCCCTACTCTAAAAACGAGCGGTTCTTCTTCTCTCCTCTTCTTCATTGCTTGGTTGAAGACTATATGAATTTCCAACATTTGGTCCATATTGGGAAAAAGAATGTCCAACTGATCTTTTGGTAACAGTTCTGCTTCTGTCATGGGTACTTGAAATAGGTGTTTTAAAACTTTTAAGACCCGTACATGTGTCCGCTCAGTGTGGAACAATTCTGAAATTAAAGAATGCTTTAACAGAATATTTACAGTAGGTGGATAGAAAATAAAAGTATAGAGGCTGAATAAGGTAATTGGTTGACGTGAATGTACTGAGGTACAACAGTGTACCTTCATCACTTTTCCTATATTTTCTTTGGGTGTGATGCATTCATTATTCTGAGGATACTGTACTAATTCTTTTGTTAAAAACCTCAACTAACAGCCAATAATGTACGTACAGTAAGCACAACACACTATTTACACACCTCGTACATGTGTATATTAGACCAATATGACGTGATTTTGGATACACTGCAATAACAACATAATGCTAATGTAATATACAGTACACAATTCCTTCAGCAAGTGTAATAGCACACAAAAAAGTCTGTTCCAAATAAGTAACTGGAAAGATTGGTAGACAGAATTAGAACTAACATGCCAGACCCAATAAGTAATTCTGTGATTGATAAAATGATAAAATAAAATCAAGTCTCCACCTGAAAAAATCTGAATTCATGTAGCATACTACTGCCAGTGTCAGTAATAGTAGGAATAAGATACACACTGCAGAATAAGCTTATACTGGGAAAATGTTCTGCTCTATGTACTATTTTATGAAGTTATAGCTTGACGAAGCTCTACACAAAGCACAACATTAACTTAATATAAACATGTTTTGCAAAATATCTTTTCTCCATATGGAAAATTCTGTTCCTCAAGGAAAGGTACTCAATCCCAATTCTCTTTCTCATTCTAATATACAGCACAGGCAAAAAAATATATCACAGCATCGTATCATCATTTAACAGAGAATAAAATTTAAAGTGTATGAAAGTGGCATTCACAGAGGACACGAGCCAAGGTTTCCAGTGGATCATAAATCCACATGCTCACCTGTAAACCTTCACATACATTACTGTACAACTGAAAATTTTAAGAAACTGGAACAGAGTATAAAATGTCATCACATTACTCTATAAAACAAAGGATAAATGTAAGGGACCTGAAAATAACCATGTTGGAAGATCTTATGCTCAAAAAACACAATAACAGCTACAAGGATAATGACAGACTAGATAATAAGAAATTTCAGAAACAAAAGATAACCCTATGATAATACTGTACTGTATACTTTCAAGGCAGTTGTAGTGTAAGACTGAAATTGCTGTACACTAACAACTCATTTAAGGCTGATAAAATTTTGGATCTGGAAAAGCAGAAAACTTTCACAACTTGCATCTTTTAAAATACCCAAATTATTATGAATGTCTAAAATCCCTTTGGAGAACTGACAATGACGATATATAATATTTTTTTTTTTTTATCACACCGGCCGATTCCCACCAAGGCAGGGTGGCCCGAAAAAGAAAAACTTTCACCATCATTCACTCCATCACTGTCTTGCCAGAAGGGTGCTTTACACTACAGTTTTTAAACTGCAACATTAACACCCCTCCTTCAGAGTGCAGGCACTGTACTTCCCATCTCCAGGACTCAAGTCCGGCCTGCCGGTTTCCCTGAACCCCTTCATAAATGTTACTTTGCTCACACTCCAACAGCACGTCAAGTATTAAAAACCATTTGTCTCCATTCACTCCTATCAAACACGCTCACGCATGCCTGCTGGAAGTCCAAGCCCCTCGCACACAAAACCTCCTTTACCCCCTCCCTCCAACCTTTCCTAGGCCGACCCCTACCCCGCCTTCCTTCCACTACAGACTGATACACTCTTGAAGTTATTCTGTTTCGCTCCATTCTCTCCACATGTCCGAACCACGTCAACAACCCTTCCTCAGCCCTCTGGACAACAGTTTTGGTAATCCCGCACCTCCTCCTAACTTCCAAACTACGAATTCTCTGCATTATATTCACACCACACATTGCTCTCAGACATGACATCTCCACTGCCTCCAGCCTTCTCCTCGCTGCAACATTCATCACCCATGCTTCACACCCATATAAGAGCGTTGGTAAAACTGTACTCTCATACATTCCCCTCTTTGCCTCCAAGGACAAAGTTCTTTGTCTCCACAGACTCCTAAGTGCACCACTCACCCTTTTCCCTCATCAATTCTATGATTCACCTCATCTTTCATAGACCCATCCGCTGACACGTCCACTCCCAAATATCTGAATACATTCACCTCCTCCATACTCTCTCCCTCCAATCTGATATCCAATCTTTCATCACCTAATCTTTTTGTTATCCTCATAACCTTACTCTTTCCTGTATTCACTTTCAATTTTCTTCATTTGCCACCCTACCAAATTCATCCACCAATCTCTGCAACTTCTCTTCAGAATCTCCCAAGAGCACCGTGTCATCAGCAAAGAGCAACTGTGACAACTCCCACTTTATGTGTGATTCTTTATCTTTTAACTCCACGCCTCTTGCCAAGACCCTCGCATTTACTTCTCTTACAACCCCATCTATAAATATATTAAACAACCACGGTGACATCACACATCCTTGTCTAAGGCCTACTTTTACTGGGAAATAATTTCCCTCTTTCCTACATACTCTAACTTGAGCCTCACTATCCTCGTAAAAACTCTTCACTGCTTTCAGTAACCTACCTCCTACACCATACACGTGCAACATCTGCCACATTGCCCCCCTATCCACCCTGTCATATGCCTTTTCCAAATCCATAAATGCTACAAAGACCTCTTTAGCCTTATCTAAATACTGTTCACTTATATATTTCACTGTAAACACCTGGTCCACACACCCCCTACCTTTCCTAAAGCCTCCTTGTTCATCTGCTATCCTATTCTCCGTCTTACTCTTAATTCTTTCAATAATAACTCTACCATACACTTTGCCAGGTATACTCAACAGACTTATCCCCCTATAATTTTTGCACTCTCTTTTATCCCCTTTGCCTTTATACAAATGAACTATGCATGCTCTCTGCCAATCCCTAGGTACCTTACCCTCTTCCATACATTTATTAAATAATTGCACCAACCACTCCAAAACTATATCCCCACCTGCTTTTAACATTTCTATCTTTATCCCATCAATCCCGGCTGCCTTACCCCCTTTCATTTTACCTACTGCCTCACGAACTTCCCCCACACTCACAACTGGCTCTTCCTCACTCCTACAAGATGTTGTTCCTCCTTGCCCTATACACGAAATCACAGCTTCCCTATCTTCATCAACATTTAACAATTCCTCAAAATATTCCCCCCATCTTCCCAATACCTCTAACTCTCCATTTAATAACTCTCCTCTCCTATTTTTAACTGACAAATCCATTTGTTCTCTAGGGTTTCTTAACTTGTTAATCTCACTCCAAAACTTTTTCTTATTTTCAACAAAATTTGTTGATAACATCTCACCCACCCTCTCATTTGCTCTCTTTTTACATTGCTTCACCACTCTCTTAACCTCTCTCTTTTTCTCCATATACTCTTCCCTCCTTTCATCACTTCTACTTTGTAAAAACTTCTCATATGCTAACTTTTTCTCCCTTACTACTCTCTTCACATCATCAAGGGAGAAAAAGTTAGCATATGAGAAGTTTTTACTGAAGGAACTACCCATAAATCTGAACACAAAAATAACCATTATGAAACAAAATAGCACCAATGAAAAGTCAAGGTGCAACAAGTAAACTAAGAAATAAATCAATATGGATAAAGGGCCCAAAGCCTTGCTTTTAAAGCTGATGGAGATTATCAACCATTTACTGTCTTCAAGAGATAACTTGACAAGTATCTGCAAATTATTCTCTGGTGCTTTCATCAAATTGCATGATGCATGCACAAACAACCTGACCGGTGAGGCCATCAACCAAGAGGTCTAGATGATAAGTAAGATGCATGAGTAACACTTCAGCATCTTTAGTGTCTTACATAATTTTTTTTATTAACCTGTGAGTATTATATGCAGTCTATCATTTATAATATGATACAAGAAAACTAGTCTATGACTGGGCCATAACAGTGATGATCCCTAGAACAGACAGACATCCCGACACCAGGTTAGTAAACATTTATTATACTTATTGTACTTATTTCCATACACATTTAACTAACATAGGCCAAGACTAGCATTTACTTTATACTTTTCTTTTTAGTACTGGTCCAGTCATTCACCTGAATGTCACATCAGTGTTAAGAATCACCTTTTACCTATACAAAAAACAATAGATGTGTGGAAAGAAAAATGCCTTACCAACTTTCTTTCTGTATTTGCTTGTCTTACTAAACAAGCATAGCATAATTACAATCATGAAAGTTAGAGAAGGCAAATAAAAGTACAGAAGTATAAATATATGCTGCTACATACCATTTATGGTGTCCTGCCTCTTGCGCTCTTTAGGCTTGAGCTTCTTAATTTCCTCGTCAGAGACTAGTTTTTGCCAGTTTGGAAGATCCACCTCTGCCTCAATGTCAGAGTCATTTTCGAGGACTGGGGCAGGTAATGGTGCATCTGTCCGAGACACTACATGCTCGAAGGACGTGCTCGGGCTATCCAGGCTGTAGAGACAGAAGAATTATTAGAGGGAAACATAATACACTATGAAATGATTGAACTTATATGGAGACAGAAACAGTGTAGAAAGAGACTATTTTGATTTATAACTGAGATTTTCAGCAAATGATCTATGAGTAAAGATCTTAGATGGATATCAAAATAAAGTCTCTTTCTACACTGTGTGTCAGTCTCTATGCGAGTTTTTTCACCTGTTGATAAGTGTCCACTGTACTTTCAAGGTTCATCATAATAAAGCATTACCATTTGCTTTCAAAATTATACATTTAGTAAGTACAACAAAAGCTGTTGCTGACTATACAGTACTGTACATCCATCCATCATATTTGTACATCCAAGTATGATGGAGCAGAAACCTGAGCTTAAAAGCTACACTATATGCTGTACTGGCACAATTTTATTACCAAAGATTTCTTTTTTCTTTACAGAACCACTGAGTTTTATACATACTAAAGATAATATAGCTAAAAAAAAACTAATTGCATAATTATTATTTTTTAGAAAAAATAAAAATTCATATCTGGGAAAGTACCTCCTCTGATGCTAACTGGGAACCCTTGTCCTCAAAGAAGAAGAAAAACTTCAACAATGTCATGGGGGTCAAGGTCTCACACTTATAACTATACATAAATCAAAGCAACCTCAAATTTGCTATGAATAACAAAATTTGGCCTAGACATGAGATAATGGGTCTGTGCAGTGGTTTAGGCATGCAGTATAAAAAAAAATCCTGCCCCAGACAGGGCACTGCTAACCTCTGACCTTGAATTTGGGTTAAAACAGTAAATTTGGCCATTTTCTTAGGGTGGTTTTCAAAGGTTCACTGGTTGTTTCACAGTGCCAATAGATAAATCAAATAGAATACTAATGAAATGGACAAGATCTGTGCCAGTCAGTTTAACAGACAATGTCTTGAAACATGTGTTAAATCTGAGAAGAATGATTGACTGATTTTGTGATTTTCCTAAAGAAGGGTGGGGGCCTCTACTCCCCCGTCAGTTTAATGGGTTTTTACTTAGGCATTGTCAATTACTGGGACAGCCTAAACTATTACCAAGTATTCTTGGTTGTGATTATTCCTGTAAGAGGAAAATTAGGAGGAAAAGTTTACTATATTTTATGTGATGATGAATTCAAAATGGAGGGCAATGTTATATAACTAATGATATGATTAATGAACAGAGAAAGGCTGGAAAGAGTACAATTTCTATTTTGGACTTGTTTTTATACTGGAATTTATTGAAAACAGTAAAATTAGAAAAATTACTACTAATTTCAGGGTGCTTAACAGGGGAATTTTGATGGTTAAAATGAGCAGTTTCTTGTGACCAATGGATAGTCCAGGAGGCAAACTGGTGACAATAATGAGAAGTGGGTAAGCTTGGCCTAAAATAGATTCTGTCTAACTTTGCACCCATGTAATTTTATCAGTTGTATTACAGTACAAATTTTTTTCCCAAAATTTGCTGGGGTCAACAATGAAAGTATGTTTATTATTTTTATATATTGTTAATTTAGTAAACACTTGTTAATATTTTTAACAGGGCTAAATACTGTATCAAATCACTGGCATTACACTTGCATGCCAGTATTTACTACATAATGATTATAGTGCAGCAATAGTCCATAAGTTATTTATTGAATTAATTTTGGCCAAGCGAGATCAAAATCTATTAAATATGAAATGTAACAAAGAAGGGAAGTGTTTAATGTGTGGTAAAAAGCAAAATAAAACTAGTGAATGTAGAGAGCACATTTTCTACATACATTGTTGGTTATTTTGTATGGGCACAACTGGACATGCAGCATGAATGTAGACTATAAGCTTATAAAATAAAGACAAACAGGCTTATAAAAACTGGCATAAGTTCAGTTAACAAATGTTCCTGAGAGAGTGAATCTTCATGTGACACAATGTTTCAAATAAACATAAGCTATCCCTTTCCTTACTCCAAAAATGTGCCCAAAGTTATACCTCTCTACTTATGGCCAAGATACACAAATGCTCCTCCACAAGGCACATCTGGACCCCCAGGAGAGAATAATAATTAATGGAGGGATGGAGCAATGACTCATCAGAGATAATGTAGCTGACTTGCCAATTAATGACTCAGAAATATGGAATGCAATTAAAATGAAGCCCTTCAACAGCTCTTGATGACAATAGTTTAATCTAAGGGAAAACTGAAGAGCTTACTAAAATTCAAGAAGACATAACTATACATTTAACTTGTTATATTTATATATAGATATTCCAACAAATATGTAAGGAAACCATCATCATCTCTATTCCTAAAGGAGCAGAGAATTTCATTCTTGTCCATCTCACTTATGATCTGCTGATGTTAATGTTGAATGAAAATACTAACGAGTATCATATATCACCATAAAAGATAGAGTGTCAGACTTCTATACTTTAATAGTCTCATGAAAGGTAAAAGCACTGCACATTGCATCACAACTTTCCTTAGTACCATAAATGTCATTAACCTTTAAACTGTCCAAACGTAGATCTATGTTTTTTCAACATTTGAAAGTATGTAGAAAAGTAAATCTTCTTTTCTTTTCTTTACATTTGAAAATGTGTAAAAAACTTTGATCTACTTTTTTTTTTGTTATATTTGAAAATATGTAAAAGAAACATAGATCTACTTTTGGAGCACTACGCATGTGAACGTAAATTTGTTTGGACAGTTTAAGGGTTAAAATATGAGCAAGTCAATTCTATCATTAACTGTAGTGAACAGTGAATACTTAGTCATGATGAACATTGAATAATATGGGGGTCAGGCTCATATGATCACCAATGGAGCACTTGATCCTGATAATGGCATTGATGCCAGTGCTGCTTACTGTACTTAGAACAAAATATTGTCTAACATCTTGAAAAGTCTCTAAGAGTTCAGGAATTTGTATCAACACAAACTGAACTAGCTGTTTAAAAAGTCAAAACACTACTGTTAACAGAACAATAACTGACTTGCTGATATATTCAGTATAACAGTATTGTAGAGGGCATATAAATAAATGCCAAATACTAGAATATTAAGTAATACATTACTGTATTAATCATTTTATGAAGAGAATGAGAGTATGCTGATGAATTTCACTGAATAGGAACACAGGAAAAACTGTATGACTACACGGGTTTGAGGAAACACTGTAGAAGATAACAACGAAAAAAATCACTTAAAATTTTGAGGATGAAATCAGTGAGAAAGTATTATCATCACATCATCCCATGAAAGCACTAAACCCTTTAGATCATACAGTGAGTAAGATTTACATCATTACAATAATGATGCATTAGGTGAAACACTTGCATCAAATAAATGTTATGTAGAGTAAGAAAGGTGAAAATAATACTGTTGAGAGAGTCACAGTCAAGATTAGTTTAGGTTACCTGTATATGTTACAGGTTGATGAATTAGAAATATGTGCAGCATCTGGGCATGTTTCTAACTCATCATCTTGTTGGTACTGAATACCATTGATATACAACATGTTACAGGTTGGTGTAGAAACACCAATGTAGGAAAAACAATGTAAATTGTATGGAAAGGAGGATAAACACTCCAGAACTGCATCTTAAGATTTTTCAAATAATACGAGTATGAAACAAATACCCCTAACACGTGAGCAACATAAGCACAATGTAGGTTTGTAGTATTTTGTAAAATTGTGCAGGATTTGTAGGAATGACATCATGATAATTTGTAATGATGGAGGCACCTGATTCTTGTAATGGCCGAAGATGAAGTCAGTTTCAGCCATGGCATGTCAACTATTTGGGACAAAATGTACCAACTATGGTGTTATCTTCATTCATGGGATGAGTAATGTTGGATAATAAACTCGCCCCTTGTTACAAAATCTACTTTCTAATTTTCATGCAAATTTTTATACTACTTTTTCTTTAAGAATATTTTTGTTTCTGGAATCAACTAAGTAATGGAATGACCTCAATGTGATCCACTACATACCAATATGAACTTAATTATTACTACAAGTAATGTAGCCATACAGGACTATATTTGCAATTTATATGCAATTATTTGTTAGCCCATTAATTATAAACAATACTATAGTTTTAAAGCTTTAACTCTGCAACATGCAAAACCCAAAATAACGAATCAAATAACATGTGGCATAAAACTGACATTACTCAATCATTACTTACCCGTGTGAAAGACTTGAGCTTGATGAACTACCAGAATTGCCCGGGATGAGACCGGATTCCGTGTCCACATCACTGAAAATAAATAACCCACAATTAAGTG